TCTAAACGGCATTTTGAAAAAAATATCATAATTTGCCATTTTGATGCATAAATTGCTACTATGCATACAGTAATCATGTTATGTTTATTTCATATTTGTCAACTTTTTGTGGGGGTGGGAGGGGGGACACCTAGGAGTATGAGAATTTGGTGCAGGGTACGTTCCCCGAGGGTATGATGCCTTTAATATACAGAGAACATTCAGAGACTGTTTCCATTGCTGCATAACCCTACCAGTGATGATAGGAGATAATTCAAAGTTAGGATAGCTCCACTGCAAGCAATGGCAACAGCCCTATTATGATTAACCTAAATATTGACCCAGAAACTATTTGTATTCAATCATCCCATTTGATCTATAGAGAACATACATAGATTATTCTTAGGCCCTACTGCTTGCTGTGATATACATGTTGGAAAATGTTGTTGGCTACTTCATGTAAATCTATAACACGGAGCTCATCTTCCCCCAAATCTGTAATGGGTTCAATTAAGCAATTTGTTTTCTGATTCTGAAACGCTACAAACAGAGAAATTTAAAATAAAAGTGGAAACTTTAATCCAAACCACATCTCTTGAAACTCTCATGAAATTTTTTTTTGTGACATACCTTTGTCAATATACATTTATCTGATGGTAAAGTTGAGTTCTTTATTTCCATGCTCATGCATTATTACAACCCAAAGTTTCCCCATTGAAAATAAAAAGCTGTTAAATGCAAACTATTCTCTGTATGCATTTGCATGAAATTTGGTGTGTGTATGTTGAATAGGGATTTGCGCTGCTGTTGAGCAATGTTGTCAAAGACTTGGGGTGTGAAGCTGGGAATGGGAACAGTGTCATATTAGAGTTAGCCATCTGTCTGACACCATTTCTTACTGCGATTGACCTGTTAATTACCCTTTAATTAGTAGTCTGATTAGAGAACTGCTCACCTAATACACATAGGGCATGTATTGCTAGACTGATCATGTGATTTAAACTTTGTATCTTAGGTAACAATGAGAACTCCTTTTTCAGGTTTGATTATGTTCAAATTATTGCACAATTATAAAAAGAGAAGAAGAAAGAGAGAGAAAGAAAGAGAGAGAAAGACAGAGGGGGTTAGGGTTAGATATAGACATTAACTGGTAATCAAATAAAGAGAGTGATAAAGAAATGAGGAAAAGGGCAGACAGAGAGAGAGAGAGAACCTGAAGAGAGACATGAAGAGAGAGCATGAGAGAAAAACAAGAAGAGTGTTAAAAGAAGAGAGAGAGATAGGGAAAGAGAAAGAGGTATACTGAAAAACCCTATAGAGAGGGGAAGGGGGATGTAAGAAATTGAAGACAAAAAGTGAGAGGGGCAGAGTCATATAGATAGGTAAGGGAATCAACTAAAAAGTAAAATTACAGATAAAGGGGCATGAAGAAAATGAAATAGAAGATGATGGGAATTTGATGGCACAGAGAGGGAATGAGAGAGAGTGAGAGAATACATTTCCATCTACATTAGATGAAGAATTCTGCAGACATGGAGTTAAATTGTAATCCGTCATGCTGTGCACACTGATGACTCTAGCTCTAACCCGCTATTAAATGAATCCATGCATCATGGAGCATTGTATGTGAAGACATGAAAAGGTTTCTCCAGATGTCACTTTATCCCTTTCTTGTTTTGCCACGGAGGTGAACGTTCGAGACATCCTACTCTTTTCTCGGAAAGCGGTCCATGATTCATACCTGCTCCCCCAAGCCGTCACTGATGAACATTGTTCCCACATCTCAATGCTGTTTACAATCGCAGATAAATTAGGCTGTGTTCATACTTACTCTAACCACTTCAGTGGTTGCAGTGGTGATGTTGAAAATGAGGTCTGAGGTTCCAAATCAGAAGTTGTTAATCTTAGGCATTTTATGGACGAGGTATTTCTTACCCACAAATAGCCTTGCGTAAATCAATACAAAATTGTTAGTCATTTATGAATATCATGTTTTTTAGGGAGATTTTGTCAGACATTTATCTAAAAAAACTGTGTTAATAAGTGTGAATGAAATCTTGCCTCTAAAATAAGGCACATCGTTTGTGTTTTTCAGATTCTATGAGAATTCAGGTAAGAGTTAATTACTTCCGGTATGTATGCAATAGTATCACACTTTTCAATTTGAATGAGGTGTCGGTAGGGCATGTGATATTTTTTCCCCCCACAATTTCTAGCTTTAAACATTTGAACTTTGCGAGTGTTTAATGAGGTATGTGTAGAAAATGTGATATATATGATTGCCCAATATAGCAACAATATTAGTTTTGCTATGTTGGGCCAGCTGTGTGCAGTCCTTTAGAGGAAATGTGATTTTATCCAAATTTGTACATCTTGATGATATAAACTCCTTTATAACTGTAAAATGAAGCAACATTCGAAGATGCCCTTTTGTGTATGTTATACTAGAGAAAGCGACTTTGTAGTGATTTTTTAAAGCTATATGAGTTAGGCATCTTTAGAAGATATGAAGTCATCATCATTGTTATGTCATGGCTGTCAACGGAGTTTAAGACTGATCAAATCCTTTCTAAGATAGGCAAATCCTTTCCCCATCTGCTCTATACCCTGACTGTAAAACCTTGCATCTTTATAAATTTGAAGACTTTCTAAGTAGACCTGTTTTCATCTGCTCGAGATTGCCAAATATCCAGCTATTTCAACTATCCCGATCACAAATTATCCAGTTAGTTTCGTCTTCATCAGCCCGAAGTTGCAATTAGCGGGTTATTTGTTTGGGATAATCATCCCAAGATATCTAGTTTGCAAAATATCCCGCTATTTGTCCCGTGCGTTTTCACCAGCCCGAAGACTAGCACTATGCGCGAACACTTAGCAAAATATCTCGAGCTAATTTCTCAAGGTCGAGTTTCAAGTTATCTCGAGCTGATGAAGACGCGATTTGTAACTTCAGGATTATTTCCCAAATCAGAAATAGCAGGCTATTTGGCAATTTCAAGCTGATGAAGACGTGCCTAGTGTGAATGCACCCTCCTTAATGTAACGCTCTTGACATTTAATCTGTCTGATTGATCCCAGCCAGGTGTGTGAACCCCAATGCTATGTCGTATCATGAGGCCTTGCCAGAGGTAGCGCACTATAATCTCCAAAACATGGTTGGCTGCCAAACTCTTTAGCTACTCGAGAGCCAAAAGGCCATTGATTGTTTGTAAATGTGTGTGAGTTAATGCCTTTTTGGATCTAATTTTGGATCTGATTGGTTTAATCACAGACAAAGTCCTGTTCAACCTTTCAATCTCTTTAAGTAGATGTACATTTGTTTGATCATAGACAAAGTCCTATTTAACATTTCAACCTCTTAATGTAGATGTATGGTTTGTTGTTGTGAGCAAGGAGGGAATTAACATTATGTAAAAGTATATAAGTTCGAGCTGTTCTGGCCCATAGCAGAGAATTGAATCACAGACAAAGTCCTATTAAACCTTTCAAACTCTTTATTTAGATTTATGTAGATTTGTGTTTTGGTGTTGTGAGCAAGAAGGGCTTTAACATTATACAAGTATATGAGTTAGGGCTGTTCTGGGCTTCTTGCTCAGAGGATTTAATCACAGACAAAGTCATATTAAACCTTTCGAACTCTTTATTTAGATTTATCGTCGGTGGGGTGACAAAACCTCGTATCTCAATTTTTTGAGATTTTGATTTTTTTGCATAATTTTGTAGCTAATGGCCTACGACACCACCTGATAAATCCATGGAACGCCTCCTGTCTCGGTTTTTCACAAATCCACACAAACACCCTTAAACTAAACCTCGTAACTTTAACCTCCTTTGAAGTTGCACTGACAAAACCTCATAACATAAGATACGTAATTCCTTTTCCTTGTAACTCACACACGGCCTAACAGTACCAAAGTTAGTGTATTCAAATCCTCGTAACTTATTCAACCAAAACCTCGTAACTCATTCAGAGTTGAAAGTAAGAACTCGTATCTCAATTTGAATAACAACTAAAAACTTGTATCTCAATGTAGATTAAAGCAAAAACCTCGTAACTCACTTTCAAATATAAAAACAATTATTTTACTGTATTTCAACAATGACATTAAAAATTGTATAAATATTCCAGTTTTAAAAAGAAAGGACGGTGTCACAGCACTAAATTTGTTGAGACAGGAAAGTTTTTTCGCTCTTCTGAAAATTCATAATTTTTGAGATACAAGGTTTTGTCACCCCACCGACGTTATGTAGATTTGTGTTTTGGTGTTGTAAGCAAGAACGGCATTAACATTATAAAAGTATATAAGTTAGAGTTGTCCTGGCTCGTAGCAGAGGATATAATCACAGACAAAGTCATATTAAACCTTTCAAACTCTGTATTTAGATTTATGTAGATTTGTGTTTTGTTGTTGTAAGCAAGAACGGCATTAACATTACGAAATGTATATGAGGTAATGCTGTTCTGGCTCTTAGCAGAGGTTTTAATCATGAACAGGGTCTTATCATCTCTTTCAATCCACACATACCTGTATATGCATGGTGTATCAGTTGAGAGCCAGGAGGGTGCTAATGTTATGCTCTCAGCAGATAGTTCAATCATAGAAAAGGTCTTATGAACCCTTTCAAAACTAGACTCAAAGATGGTGTGTCCTTTCTCTATGCATCAATTTAAAAAGTTGTATTTAAACACAGTGGTAAGGCACATGAGAGATAATGTTTAAGAACTCCCCTCAAGGAATGGGATATGAAAACTGACTTTTAAAACAGAGTTTTATGAAATAATGCATGCATTTAGATTTTTATTTAAGTTGTCCTGAAATGGTCGCTTAAAAAAAAAATCATAATAAAGTCATCCACATTCATAACAAATTTACTAACATGTTCAGATAACTTCAGTTCTGTCACCCAGCATCATCTATACTCTTGTATTAAAAAAAGAAGCTTTAAATCAACTGAATGTTTCATTTCTACTTTAAGACTATTTTATTATATCTTTTGTCTTTTTTTTTATGTTATCACTTAGATCTACCTGAGTGTAATGTGGCATGATGGGACGCTGGGCGTGGCTTACTACAGCTCAGAGACAGCTGAGATCTATATCATGAATGATACCATGGAAACAAACAACTATTCACTGCTGAAAAAAGGTGTGTACATACAAACTTCAGTTTGTTTTTGAAGGGCTATTTAAACTAGACAAAGCTTTTGTATCTAGGCATAGAGCCCTTCAACAGAAACTGGTTTCTCCTTGAATTATGTGTTGTAGTTATCCCTAAGGTAACATCTATTTTTTGTTTACTGGATATAATAATCATGGCCATAATATAAGTTTTCTCCTTTTAAAATAAGGTGATCATGTTGATTTCGTTTTCAGACATTTTCTAGTACCTATCCTTATTTCAGGAGGATGAGTACCTTACCACTTTTTGAAATCAACAATGTAAAATTCTACTTACGTTTGATTTTTCTTTTTATCAGTTTTCTGAAATGCTATGAAGATACCATGTAAAGAAAATGACATTAGTGATTTTAATATTCCTTTTGCTGTCCCGCAAATTTCAAATGATACGCTTTTTTGCTAAGAGAGCAAGCTTCATGAATTCAGGAATCTAGGCAAAATAGATATCTTGCAAATGTTTGTGTGATGCTCTTTTTTTTTACAAGGTATAAACATGTTGAATTAGGCAAACACACCTGGGTGTAATTCAATTAGCTTGTCCCTTTGTCTCGAGGAAAAGCCTCCATTATGTCTTCTTCCTCTCCTCAAACACAAGCTGCTGTGATGAGGATGTCCTCTCAGAATGTCTTGAGGCTTCTTCGAATCTTAAAGAGAAGGTTAGGTTCTGCTAAAAGATGAAAAATAGTTTGTATCCTTTCTAATTCTATTTTCATAAGTTTGGGAGAGTAACATCTAGTGAAAAAATGTTGCCTGAAAAGGATTGTTCTTCAAATACCCTCATATTAAATATTTGATGAGAAATAGCAGACAAGTTTGGATCAAACTTTCATGCCATATTTGTGTGTAGTCCCATATACCCATATCTATGTGCAGTGTATGTGATTCTCAGCAGGATTGATTCAATTTCTTTTCATTGTGACCATTCCAAAACCTCACAATCTTCATCAATTCCTATGTACAACAAAACCAAACTTTTCCAATTGCTTCTAGACAGTTTCTTACACGATGTAATCACTTAACCAATACTCATCTTTAAAGATAAAGACCAGTTCTGGTCATGCGATTGCATTGTGAAAGAAACGGTGTGGAATCAATCACTAAAGGTTGAGAGGGGGCGTTTCCAAAACTGGTCTTTACCTTTAACCTCAAGCCTTCATGGTCTGTTGGAGTATGTTGTGTAAATACATAAATGATGTTTATGTGGGAACAGTGTAATTAAGGGTTATTGATTGGACATCCAGTCTCATGATTTCATTTTTGTGAAGAACCAAACACCAGACAGAGGCGAAAGGAATGTGGTATGAGAAGTAGAGGTGCAAGGGCTTTAATAGAGATGGGAAAAGAAAGAAAAGGAGAGGATAGGGGAGTGAGGAGTAAAAAGTTATGAATTCCAAAGAAATAAAGGAGCAAGAGGGAAAATAGGCAGAAAGATGAAATTGTAAAGAAATGTAGGTTATATATTTCATCTGTTCATTTAAAAATATTTATAATGGATATAGAAGATCAGAATGTTACTGTTTTCCATCTTGGTCCTGATGTTAAAAAACGTGAAAGTATTAACATTTATGAAATGGTAAAAAGAGTTACAGTCAATACAATAACAAGGAAAAAGAGCAAAATAATATATGAAGACAATGTATGATGAATAAAATAAATCAAGAATGTAAATTATTAACATAAATTGGGATCAAAACATTATTTCTATGGATAAAAATGCACACAAATTCTACACTCATACATGTGCATGTAAAAGTCTATATGCCCAAACAAGCCAATTGATACGGTACATGCCAAAGGACAATTTGCGGCTTTGTTATGGAGGCATTGTGGCATTCAGTCTTAATTAAAACTACCCCTTTTTGTCAGCTAAAAAGAGCATGAGCCAGGAATTCAACAATTACAGGACAAACATAAGAGGGGGAAAAGAACCTTTAAAGAGTGCAGATGACACCTATTATTCCGTCTTCTTGTTACATGCTAATTGGAAAGGGGGAAACGTATTGACAGTTTGATCCTGTATGGGGTAAAAAGGTATTTCCTGCGTTTTGGAGATTAAGTGTCCTGATAGTGAAACCATTTGTTTGGTGAGAGTTTGTTAAAATCTGTACTTTACAAAGTGTCAGTGTTTTATTTTTGTATGTCTCCATACACCAAAGGTGGTGCAGGGGGCATTATGTTTTCAGGTTGTCCTTCCGTCTGTCCATACGTTCGCAAACTGTCATACTTGGTGACAGTGTGTATCACCATATGAATACGATTAAATTGTATTTTAGAGTAAGTAGTTCAAAGTTCAAAGGTCATTGAGGTCAATATAAGAAATTACAGGTATAAGACTCGTTATAGAAATGTCTCAAGAACCAAATTTTGAACCTTAAAAAAAACACCTCTGAAATATTGTGTATTAAACAAGGTGTGGTTAGTTTGTGAAGTAGTGGCAACCAACTAAAAAACTAAGCAGGATTTTAACTCTGTCCCTCAGCTAAATAGTAAGTTAATCTTTTATTAATACAAAAATACCAAAGGAAACCAGTCTGTAAAGAGCTATTAACTCTGTGTAAGAATAAAGAGCTACATGTATATGCTCTCTGGCTCTTAAAGACCTTAAGACTTTAAGACCTTTCTCCTCTCGTCAATTACATCTCATCTCGTCGATTACATCTCATCAATTTCATGTCATTCCTCCTACCACCAAGGAAGAACCTTCCAGTGCAAGCATTGCGCAACATCCAGATGATATCATTCCTATTCCCAGCACAAGATGTAATAGTAAGATGAGACTATATGTTAAGAGCCAGAAGAGCGTTAACTCAGCAAATGAAATAATGGTATCTTACACAGTAGGCCTGTCTTCACTATATCAAGATTGTCATATATCCAGCTATTTGAACCATCCCGATCGTAAACTATCCAGCCAATTTGCGTTCTCATCAGACCGAAGTAGCAATTAGCGGGATATTTGATCGGGATTGTCATCCCAAGATATCTTGGGATAGTTTGCAAAATATCTCGAGCTAATTCCTCGAGGTCGAGTCTCAAGTTTCAAGGTCGAATCTCGAGTTGATGAAGACGCGATTTGTAACTTCGGGATTATTTCCCAAATCAGAAATAGCGGCCTATTTGGCAATTTCGAGACAATGAAAACGCGCCTAGTGTATCTTAGCTCTCAGCATATGTGATATAGATACACCCTGCTATAGAATATCTTGGAAGTATTGAGGATGGTCCATATGTCACGTTGTTAATTGATTTGTCAATTACACCCGTAGAACGTTATCCTCTTTGAAGTTTTGCCCGCTGCCGTCTCAGAACCGATCAATTCGTCTCCCAGGAATTCCTTCCCTAATAATGCACAGCTCCGTCTCCCAGTGGAGGTTTGTTCACACATTCTGTCATTGATACCACTACTTCTTTTCATTTGAACACTGTGGAAGGGTCTGTTCACACATCCTATCAGTGATACCACTACTCATTTTCATTTGAACACTGTGGAAGGGTGTGTTCACACATCCTATCATTGATACTAATACTTCTTTTCATTTGAGCTCTGTGGAAGGGTGTGTTCACACATCCTATCATTGATACCAATACTTCTTTTCATTTGAACACTGAGGAAGGGTGTGTTCACACATCCTATCATTGATATCAGTACCTCTTTTTATTTGAACTCTGTGGAAGGGTGTGTTTACACATCTTATCATTGATACCACTTCTTCTTTTCATTTGAAGACTGCAGGGCTGCCAACCTTTGGAAAGAGTTTGGAGTGAGACAATGCGAGGGAGCGGAGCGACCAAGCCCGAGGGCGCGAAGCGCCCGAGGGGGGGATGGTGTGGAAGGGGGGTGTCCCCCCTTCCAGGGTAGGGAGCTTTTACAATTTTGCAATTGAAATGGTGCAATCTGGTGCATACTTTAACCCTGATTCCACAAATACATAAGGCAGGATTCAAATAGGTTAATTGATTTCACGAAGTACACTGACCTTGAAAAAATACAAACTTCCACATTTGTAAGTGCATTATTCCAAATCAACTTTCTTTATAAGCTTAGCAGTTGAACCTCAACCTATGATTATCTGTAACAAAATGGACAAATCCTCACTCAACAGGAACATGCATACTGAAAATAATAAATAGATATATAATATATAAAAATAATATAAAAATTAATAAATAGATATATAATGAATATATAACAAATACTAAAAATAAATAAATCATACTGCACAATTTTCATTCTTCAAAATAAGTATACCTCTCATCCAGTTAATCTTGAGATAAGGCTGGACTGCTGCTTCCCAAGATGATACTAGAACAAGTGATCATTATGATGTCTGTCCATACTGGGTGTCATTCATTCTTAAAAATAAGTATACCTCTCATCCAGTTAATCTTGAGATAATTTGCATTTCAGGATGACCTTACTCTCTGCTGGTAGCTCAAACTTAAAGCAAGGCTGGGCTGCAGCTTCCCAAGATGATACTAGAACAAGTGATCATTATGATGTCTGTCCATACTGGGTGTCAATTAGCAAAGCCATTTACTTTTTCCTCTCATCCAGTTAGTCTAGTGGGATTTGTTGTAACTGGAGGTTGCGCTCCGCGATGCCCTCAGTACCTCTGCTGGTGGTTCAAACCTGCAACGGGGCTCCGATGCTGCCATCTTGATTGTCATGATGGAGCTGAGCGTTCCATTTAAGTGGAGGGCATTCCTGGTGTCTGTCTTGTTTAGACCGATGGACGAAAAAACCCTCTCAGCATCAGCATTGCTGTGGGGAAGACAGAGCACCAGCTGAGCCACCTTAGCGAGCCTCAAGAACCTCGGCTGCCCAGTTACCTCGTTCTTCAGCGAAAAAAGGTGGACCCAGAGCTTGTCAATTCTAAGAAATTCAGCTTCTGCATCTGTAGAAGTAAACTCCTTCCACTGCCTGGAAGACACCTCATCCATCATCTGATAGTCCGTAAACTCTTCTTG